GTGTTAGTCTTGACTATACTGCCAGCTGGTGTTAGTCTTGACTATACTGCCAGCTGGTGTTAGTCTTGACTATACTGCCAGCTGGTGTTAGTCTTGACTGTCCTGGCAGCTAGTGTTAGTCTTGATTGCCCTGCCTGCTGGCATTAGTCATGAATTCCCGTTATTGTGGTACACTTCACCTATTGTTTGGTAAACCCCTTTGGAGGTTTTCATGTCAGTTTCGGGTCTGTAAAAAGAATTTTGTTCCTGGCTGTACAGGTGACAGTTTGGGTCAGGAGAAGGTGGATCGTCCTATTGTTTGTAGAGTCATTTAGCGAAGTTAATGATATCAACATCTAAACGTGACCACTTTCCCTCAGTAATTGACTCCATTGGCAGAAAAAGAAGATTTTAGTGATATAAATATTCTTTTGAATATGATCAGTTTTTATATTACTTTGGTAGACTAATACTATACCTAGTGATCTCCTGACACACACACACACACACACACACACACACACACACACACACACACACACACACACACACACACACACACACACATATATATATATATATATATATATATATATATATTGATTGCAGTTTAGTGTCTGTATTTATTGCTTAAATGGGAATTTCCATTAAACTTACCCCACATTTGTAGTAAACATTGACAGTGATATAATATGCACAAAAATCTAGTAATTGTTATGTGGTTATCCCGTACATTGTGGTGTAAGATGTTTTTGATATATTACTGAAGATAAAGAAATTTTCTGTACAGTATATTCAGAGGGCTATTTATTTTCTATAAGTTTATTTTATTTTACAAAATTTTGCGGGCATCTGATAGTGCATAGTATATTTAGTTTTACGCTAGCTTGTTGTTGTGTGTGTGTGTGTGTGTGTGTGTGTGTGTGTGTGTGTGTGTGTTGCTGGCGCGGGTACGGCTGGCGGTGTTGGGCTTACTGCTGAAACTAGACACACCCTCATGTGCTACTTACGGTGGCAGTCTACGATATCTAGATGTCCGAGAAATGCGCCTTTACACAGACCTCAGTCTTTTTTCTCATCTGGTGTTCCATCACCATGTCACTTAAAATACACCAAACCGGTGTCAGATTTTTGGGAAAATCCGTTTTTACAGTATATTGCTTTGTGTAGAAACGACTGTCTCTTCCTGGGTCGCTCATGCCTGGCACCTTCCTCGGCCTGCAGGTGTGGTGGGAAGATTACCCCCCAGCTTATATGTACATGTTGATGCTTGGTCGCTTGTCACAAGAGGCGCATGTTGCTCTACGAAAAATAGTGGTGTTCCTTATGAGTGGTGGTGGTAAAGGAGTAGCTGTTGGTGGGGGTCTGGGGAATATATATATTTTTTAAGTGGCCTCCAGCCTCCCCCAATAGCCACACCTTCGCCGCCATTTTATTACCTTAATATTATATATCCTAATACATAAGTTGCTATCCTATCTGTGTTGAATTAGTTGAGCCGCAGATCTATGCGGCATTCAGTGACTGTAGCCTCATAGTCAATATCTGCAGCTGTTGTCGGCATTGGGGCAGAAGCTCTCGTTCCCCTGAGGCAGAGCAAAGCCGACCGAAGGAGAGAGAAAGACAGTCGACATCTCATCCAGGCTGTAACATAACTTCTGGGCTGCTGCTTCTGGTACAGTAGTTCGTGTGGAGACTTATCAAGACATTCTTAGTGTTGATAATAGTTTCTTGCCTCACTTCCAATATCTGGAGCTTAAGGGAATCCAAGACGCCAGATGCCGGCTTATATGAAGTAGCCGAAGCAATAGGACACTAACGAATCCTCTGTTGGAGTGCGACCTTTTTTTAATAACACTATCTTTTATGAGTCACCGTACCTGGCTATGAAAATGAGATGAGGTTCTTTCAGTGGTTCTTTTGATTCACGATGCGACAGAATTCTTCTATAAGGTACAAAGTTTTTAACAAGGAAGAAATATCCTCCGGTGTGAGTGGTGGTTGATGACTTATTCGACAGCATAATGGAGAAATGGTGGGTGTGGGCTGGACTAGCGGCCACCACCATGACTGTGTGCACTCACTGGCAGACGCTCCTCTGCTGGGTGGTGCGGGAGGAGGAGTGGGTGTTGTTAAGTGGTGCGGGAAGTGAGGATAGGAGGGGAGGAGGAGAGTAGGAGTTGGAGCTGTGAGGGCTCTTCCTCCCGGTGTTGAGGCCAAGTATGTTAAGAATGTGTACCAAATTATGAATTATTTTTGAGCGGGTCTCCACAAAAGTGTGTACCTGCCGGAGATGTTACCCCGTCCTATGCTGCCCCGCTGTGTGTTGAGAGAGAGAGAGAGAGAGAGAGAGAGAGAGAGAGAGAGAGAGAGAGAGAGAGAGAGAGATATACAAAAACACATTTTAATTTTTTTCGTGTAGGTATACTTGTATTTAATGTTAGATGGGTATTGACGTCTGTGCTCAGGTAACTGAGACACGTAAGAAACGTAAATTCACTATTGGTTCATCACGTAAGGCTAAGGCTTAGAGGCTTAAGTGTCTTACTAGGTGGAGGAAGAGGTCGAACAAGTGTGTTGAATTGTAGGTCGTGAACGGGAAGAGTTGGTTGATGGTATGAGCAGGGGCTGTGTCCTGTCCCTCCCTCCCACCCACGTTATCACTCTTACCAACTCGATAAACATCCCCGCCCGTCGATATCACCAGGTAGTACACACACACACACACACACACACACACACACACACAGATTCTCTCCTCTGGTCATTGGTCATCGTTGGTACTGTACTTTTGTTACGTCTCCAGCACCAGCCTCTCCTGTGGCCCTCAGTACCACAACCCCCGCCTCCCGCGTGGTTGCAGGCACCGAGGGTTGACCGCGTGCTGTGAAAGAAGCTCCCCGGAAACAAGGAACAATAATGCCCCCGGGATAAATTTTCAGAGTGGTGGAAACTCGTATTTTTCGTACCCTGGCGGCGATAGGGGAGTGGTGAACCCGATATGAAATGGAGGAAAAGGGGTCGTCGTCTGCTGTATTTTGGAGGTGTTATTGATGTGAGCCTCTCCTCCCCCCCTCCTCCCGTGCCCTGTCCATATTTGAGAGCGACAGATTGTGGTGTCGAACAAGGGCACCCATAATTATGCCTAAGTCTTTCCTTAAAAGCCATTCAAGTGTACCAGATTTTTCCCAATGTGTGAAATATTTATATATTTTATTCCATATTTTGTGGACAAATCATTTGACAATATTAACTTGTTTTCTCTTACCTTAACTAACCGTAACCTTACCTGTCCCCATACTGTATAACTTTGCCTAACCGAACTTAAACAAAATAAATAAATAAATAAATAAATAAATAAATAAATAAATAAATATTCACCATGCATTAAAAAAGGGGGGGGGGGGGGGGGGGGGGTGGACAGCTGACGCCGCCCTAATTAACCACTTCTTGGCCGGAATGTAAACTATATTGTAATGAAGACAATTTTTACTTAATGAAGTTGTAATTTAATTAATTAAGGGGTAAGTTCAGGAGTTCATCGTTACCAAGACACTGATATTTGAGAACACACACACACACATATATATATATATATATATATATATATATATATATATATATATATATATATATATATATATATATATATATATATATATATATATATATATATATATGTATATATGTATATATATATATATATATATTTATTTATTTATTTATTATCGTCCCAGCTTTGAACCACTATACTGCCCCCCTTTAAGTGAGGCGCAAACAAAGAGACTTGTACTGTACCGCCGCTGTCGTAATATTACCACATTTATTACACCTTCAACATTATATTATTATTACTGAGTGAAGTGTGGGGGGTTTACCTGCCCGCAGTAACTGATGAAGCTGTTGGAAAGTTATTTAATTTGAGGAATCAATAGTGAGGTGTATTATTTACGAGGGGTTATTTTTGGGTGTCCAGCGCTTGTCTGTCTCAGCCGTCTCTTATCGACTGGACCAAATGGGTAGAGCGAAGAACTGTGTAGTGTAAGTTGCCTGAGTTTACTGCCCGAGGTATTTATTTTGTCGGAACTTACGTAATGGTGAGAGGAAGAACTTGACATATAAACCGCCAGTCAGGTGGTTAAGGATATTTAGACTCTTCACGTAGTACTCGAACATTATAATTCGGTCAAACCTGTTGAATACAATTCATTTAGTATTTCAAATAAGTCATACATAGGCACTCCTACATAAATGTTTAATCCAATATATATTTACATAACAATCATGGCTATGTAATTAGTCTAATCTTAACACTTACAATGAGTACTCAATTTGCCATATTTCTATATTGTCACACTGATCAATGGACACAGTCTACCTGTGTACACAATAAGTACCAGTTAAACTTACGTGTTGAAAGTCTAGAGAGAAGCCAGGGTAGGTGTTGACTCTAAGATATGGGTAGCTATACTGAAATGCCCACCCTATAGCCTGGCCCCCTGGCTGGTCAGCTATGGCTGAGTCAGGTGATTATAATTATACATAAACAAACTCCCTTCACACCCTCCAACCTCCTTCTGGGCCTCTCATCTTCAACCATCTCAACACTCTACATACTGTATACGGGCAGGCACACCCAATAAACATGACATGACTTACAGCCTAACATATTATTTGTTTATGTGTTTGCTGCTTGCGGTAACACCCATTCCGTTGAGCGTTCACGCTCAAAACCATGTCAGGCCTTTGATACTTAATGCTTTGTCACGTTCTTGTGACCATGCTGCCCTCAGGCTGATGGTATTCAACTTTAATTTTGTCACATTCTTGTGACTATGCTGCCCTCAGGCTGGTGGTATTCAACTTTAATTTTGTCACGTTCTTGTGACCATGCTGCCCTCAGGCTGATGGTATTCAACTTTAATTTTGTCACGTTCTTGTGACCATGCTGCCCTCAGGCTGGTGGTACTTATCAGCTCCTTAGGATATCTCGGTCCTTTGACGTTCGGACATCACCATCTTCATGTGTGGATACCCAATTCATTCTCCTGGCCGACTCCGTCAACCCTTTCCATTGCTCCCTCCAACAAGCATAAATTTGTCATAGGTCGCAACATTGTGGACGTCGTCGTCTTAACCACTGCCTGTCGAACAAGTCCATCCTCGCCAGCCTTGACTTCCATCACTCGACCAAGGTGCCATTTATTGCGTGGACTATTTGCTTCTGCTATAATGATTAGGTCACCAGGGCGAAAGTTGCGCCGTGGTCTGAAATGTACTTGTCGAGTTCTGAGTTGAGGGAGGTACTCCGTCAACCAGCGCTTCCAAAATTGATCTGCAAGGTACTGGACATGCTTCCACCTTCTGTGGTATGATTCGCCTATTGACCTTCCACCTAAGGGAAGATTACCCTTTTGACTTAAGTGCAAAAGATCAGCAGGAGTGAGAGCCTTTGGTTCATTTGGAGTGTTTGGAACCGGGGTGATTGGCCTCTCGTTAACTATGGCTTCCACTTCACAGAACAGTGTTTGCAGACGTTCATCGTCTAAAACTTGTGAGCCCACAATCGCCTGCAGAACCTTCTTTACTGTGCGAATCTGCCTTTCCCATACTCCCCCCATGTATGGGGCAGCTGGTGGATTGAAGACCCAGTCAATATCTGCTTTCAGTAAGGCACCTCTGAGTCTGTCATCTTGCTCCCAACTTTTCACTTCCAGTTTGAGCTCTTTGGCTGCCCGTACCATGTTTGTCCCATTATCCGACCTAATACGCTCTGGTGTACCTCTGCGTCGTGAGAACCTTGTTATTGCGTTGAGGAAGGCATCTGCGTCTAATGAGGCCAAGACTTCTAGATGAACAGCCCTAATAGTTAGACATGTAAACAGACATCCCCAGCGCTTAACCTGTTTCCTCCCTACCTTGATAATGAATGGACCAAAACAGTCCGTTCCAGTGTAAGCAAATGGAGCCTTTCCAGGAGTGACACGATCTATTGGTAAGTCAGCTTGCCTTTGATGCCGACTTCTCCAGTTGTTCCGTCGGCACACTACACAGCGTCGTATGATTCTATCAAGCAAGTGTCTGCCCTGGGGAATCCAATACCTTTGCCTCACACACGCCATCGTGTGTTCTCGTCCGGCATGTCCGGCTCTCTCTTCGTGCATCTCCCGCACTATGATTTGGTGATGTGGTGGTCTCTAGGCAGCAAGATTGGCTCCTCACCACTTCGCCCAAGAAGGGTTCCTTTAATTCTTCCCTTTGATCTGAGCAACGTTCGCTCGTCCAAGTAAGGTTCCAGTTTATATAGCTTATTGTCCTTCGGCAGCTCACCCTTTATGACAGTTTGGATTTCTTTCTCATAAGCCTCTTTCTGCACCAATCTTATAATTGCCTGCTCAGCCGACTGTAGTTCCTCAGTGCTTAGCCTCTTCAGTTTGAGGTGCAGGTCTGCGGTCCTTGTACTGGACCCAAGCTACCAAATGAACCTTTTAATCCATGCCACCCCTTTCACCAAGCAGTACCATGATGAGTACCTGAGCCACAGTTTGGCGAGGGACCACTTTGACTGCTCGCTCACTGCCAGAGCAACTACAGATCTCTGGTGTACTTCTCATTTCACCTCCAGTAAGACGTTCAGAACTGCTGGCAGTTCCTTTCCCTTTGGCCACCGTTCTTCAACACTGAGTAGAAAGTCAGGACCTCGTATCCACCGAAATCCTGCAACCAGGTCCAGGACAGGTAATCCCCTAGTTGCATCATCTGCTGGGTTCAGCGATGTGCCGACATGTCTCCACTGGTCACTTCTTGACAGCTCTTGTATGACTGCTATCCTGTTGGCTATAAATGTTTGAAATCGTCTGCTCGAATTGGCGATGTACTGCAAGACTAGCATGCTATCCGTCCAAAAATAAGATTCGTGTATGGTCATGGTCATTTCTCGGCGAATCGTTTGATCAGCGTTCACTGCCAAGACAGCTGCATAAAGTTCCAGCCTTGGTATTATCAGTTGCTTGAGTGGGGCCAGCTTGGCCCGTCCGTACACGAAAGAGCACTGGATACTTCCGCCAGAGTCTACCATTCTCAGATAGGTCACCGCACCGTAAGCAGCCTGTGATGCATCGCAGAAGGTGTGCAACTGTGCTGAGATGATTTCTTTAGCACATGCTGTTTTTAGGCATCTGGGTACACTTAATTTCCCTAGGTTGGCCAGTTCTCCTATCAGGTGCTCCAGGTCGTGTGATTAACAGCCCACAAAGGTTCGTCTCACCCTAATCGACGCCTGCATTCACACTGAAATAATATTTAAGCCCTGATGATGAATGGGGCCACGAACCCCAGTGGGTCATAAATAGAACTGACCAGGCTTAGTACTCCTCTCCTGGTCGCTGGCCTTGAGTTTGATTGCACCTTGATGGCGAGCTGATCACCTTCCAGGAGCCACCTAACCCCCAGGGCTCGCTCCAATGGCAATTTGTCTTGCCTCAGATCAATTTCCTTCAGTGCATTTTGCCTCTCCGGTGGTATGGTAGCCAACACTCCTTTGTGATTACTGGCCCACTTAGTTAACCGAAATCCTCCACACGCCAACAGTCTTCGAAGCTGACACGCTATCATTGATGCTTCATTTGATGAGTCCAGCGACATGAGCAGGTCGTCAACCTAGAAGTTGACTTCCGCTTGCGCCACCATGTCGGGAAACTCGGATATGTGGTCTTGAAATGTGCGCCGGAGAGTGTAAGTTGCACACGAAGGGCTCCACACGCCACCAAAGATGTGCACCTTCATCCTGTAAGTTACTGGCTCTCTACTCAGGTCCCCATTCTCCCACCAGAGGAATCTTAACGCATCTCAATGTTCTGGTGCTACATGGATTTGATGGTACATAGCCTCCACATCTGCCATGATGGCTGTAGTTTCTTGGCAAAACCTAAACAGGACTCCAAGTAATTTTGTTGTTGAAGTCTGGACCTTGTAGTACCTGGTCGTTCAGCGATGTCCTTTTGTGTTTGGCTGCACAGTCAAAAGTCAAAAACTATGCGTACTTTGTTTGGCTTATTTGGGTTCAACACCGGGTGATGAGGCAGATATCAGAGCAGTCCAGTATCTGACTCCAACTGGCACTTAGGCACTGATTCAGCATATCCTTCATCAAGCAGTTTATTTATTTCCTCTACGTATCCTTGTCGCAGCCGTGCGTCCTTGGATAGTCTCCTTCGAAGCCCATCTAGTCGACGCTCCGTCACGGCCTTGTTGTTTGGGAAATTGGTAATGACCATTAGTTTTGAAGCCTGTCTCTGACCATAGCCTCAACACTCTTTTGTCCTCAAGTGAATGAGCTGCTGACTGCAAGGCTCCTGTGTCCCCACTTTCCAGCTCCCAAAAAAGCTTAACTTGTCTTTCCAGACGGGTTTCATGACTCACGACAGTTTCGGTCATCAGGCATCCTGACATGCAAACACCTTGTGCATCTTGGTGCCCCACTGGTCCATTCACTGTCCAACCCGGTCACGTTTTTATGGCGAATGGCATTCCATCCCTTCATGCTCTGACCTCCAAGGATACCAGGGCCTGTGGCACATCTTGTCCTATCAGAATTTCTATGCTGTTGCTCTGCAATTCTGGTAATTCCACACCTCGCAGATGGGTCCACCTTGAGATATCACTTGTGTTCGCTACAGAGTTGTGCAGCGTTGTGGAGAAATTTTGTATAAAGAGTACTTTCGGGATAAGTATGGTTCTGCCTCGTTTCATGCCTGCGCCAACCACTTCTAGATCTACCTCCGCTGACTCGAGTATCATCTCTTGGGCAAGTGTACCCATGGTTACCAGGGTAGGTGTCCCTTTCACCCTTAGTTTCTGTGCCAGATCTTTGGTGCAATGCGACCTGTCGCTGCCTGAGTCCAAGAGAGCTAAAGTTCTGATGTGATTTCGTTGGTGTGAGTCCTTTCCCCGAATCTTCACACTCACTATGGGCAGTACAATCTTGGCATTTTTCGTCGATAGTCAGATGTCGCTTTCGCAGCTGTATGGGTTTTCATGGCCGTCCTTTGTCCCTGTAGCATAGACATGGCCTATTTTTCCGGCCATGTACGAACTGTCGTTGGCTTTCTGGGCCATGCCACCATCAGAGGTGCCTGCCATTGACTCCTGTTTCACGAGACCTTGAAAATTTCGCTTTACGCCACCCTTGCGTGTGTTTGACATACTTGCAGTCAGTGCCTCCCTTCGTTCTTGATGCAACAGTCTAGAATGCTTCTCTTTGCACCCATCAGTGCCACACCTGAAGCGTGACCAACACTCAGCAACAAGGTGGCCCACTCTCAGACACAAGAAACAACAACATAATCTTTTTACCCTCTCTAACCTCTCCCTCACTGACATGCTCCTTAATTTGTCGCACCCTGCTAATCCATGTGCTCTGGAACACACTGGGCACGAGCCTTTTCCAGAGCTTGTTTCTCCTCCATTGCCTTTCACTTCACTGATAGTCACTAGGCCCACGGCACGTTTGCTTGACGATGATCCTTCTGGTCTTTTCTTACTTCCTTCTTGACTGTCCTCGCTTGATAGCAGAGCCATGTCATCCATCGTCACCGCTTTCTCCTCCAAATATAGCGCTAACCACTTCACCAGCCCCGTTCTGCGTCCTGTCGACTTCTGATAATTCCGTACATCATTCACACAGCATTCCCTCAATTTGGGGGGAAGCTTAATCACCAGCGTTCTGAAGGTCTGCCTTGATTCAAGTTCAGACATCAAGTTCAGATTCTCCAGATGGCTTACTGCACCCCATAGCTGAGATGCCAGTTTTCGCAGCCCTTCGTCGTCTAACGCCCCCACTGAGCGAACGTCTATGAGCCTTTTCACCAGCTGGTCCGCATATGCATACTTATCTCCAAACCTTGCCTCAGGATCTTGATTGCCTTGTTGTAGGCTCGGTCTGGCTCTAGATAGTCGCATCCCATGATTGCTTGATGTAACTCTTCTCCTTCACAAGCATCCATGAGCAGTTGGTACTTGTACTTCTCTGGCACGGCCGCATTTGTCATGTATCGACGGAAGGCATGCATAAAGGTCCAAAACTCCGCCCGACCTTGTCCTTTAAACTTGGGAAGGGTGGCTTGCGGCATGCGCATCGTAGCCACTAACTCTCTTATTTCTTCACCCTTCTCTGATTCTCCCTGTGGATGCATAATTGTGACTTGAGGCGCTTTGTTTGCAAGCATTGGCGGTAAAGACGATGACATTTTCTCGACATTGACTGATGCCTGTTGCTGGGCTTCCTGTACTATTGGCTTCTCATAATTGCTGGAGTTCTCTGTCGAAGGCTGTGAGCTGTCACTTCTTCGTGTTAGTGCTGATGTCTCTTGACCCGCCACCATTCCAGTGTGCATCGTTTTCATCCACCCTGCCTTAAGCTCTCGCAAGGCTCGGTTTACTTCATCCGACGCTGCCTCAGCTCTGGCCACTGCTTGTTGATAATACAATTCCCTACTGTGACCTTCCCGTGGATTTCCTGGTATTGCAAGCTCATATCCTGTTTCACCACTCTCTGATTGTACCTCGGCGGGCGGATCCATTGTCATTAGGTCAAAATGTTTGCTTCTATCTAGGTCTGACTCTCCTTCCATGTCATCAATATACCCAATCTCCAACATCTTGCTTATTCAGGTAATTTGAATTGCGTTCGTTTCCACCACTCTTAAATCAAGGCACGTTCGTGTGCCTCGTCTTACACTCGCACCTGATATCATTACAGACTTTACATTGATATTTGGGTTATTTACAAAGCAATATCACTTCAGCTAATTGTGTTCTGCACTTACGTCAGACAACAATAATTACATGTGTTTTCATTCTCATATGCACTACACTGGGAGTGATGAAGATCATCCAGACAAGACTATTTTCTGGACTAACCAGGTTTAACTATTATCGATGCGAGAAGTATACGGACGTTGCGCTGCACTTCTCGCCTCTGGATACACACACATCCACACCCACACACTCGTCCCTCGAGTGACGCGTGTTGGTGAGCCAAGCTACACTAAGAGTGGCTGAGCTCACTCTGACAACATTATTTTCTTCAATAACAAAAGGTTCAAATATTATCGTCACTATA